AAAAACTGTTTTAAAAACGAAAGCACCAAATAATTCTCTCAGAATGTCGAATAGTTCCTTATGGTTACAAATAGTGATTTAAGATTCATTTGTTTGCTTAACCGAAAAGCTTCTTACTTAAATCGTCCATATAATGAAATAAATAAGAATAGTATTCTAACTTTCATACGCCGATTAGCGAGACCAACAATACCCATAGGAAATAACACATCGCTGCAATAAACACGCTCTCCAAGTTGCACTGTTGCTAAAGATACTTGCGTGGGCAATTGCCTCATATCCCAAAATCTGCAGTGAATCGAATTTCCTTGAAGTTTATTTAACCAACAGTTTCTTGAATTATAACAATACGGTGTCTAAATCTACAGAAATAGTGCAATAGTATGATTAATAAGGGAATGATTTGTGAGTAAAGAAGAATTCCAAGCTTATGAATGACTGATTTTCGAGTTAACAAACAAAAATTTCGCAGCGAACAACTACTGAAACAACGCACTGACCGTAAAGTTTTATCCCATGATCCAGTCATTAAACAGCTGTAATTGGGAGCTTTGATCCAGTGACACTTCCTGACAGGTTCATCGTGCTGAAAATCAAATGAAAAAAAGAAATTAATTTGGTTCCACCATTACAGTAAGAAGGAAGTCCATTATAACTGTAAAGATGTTTATGTGGTGTATGGGAAAGATAAAAAACTCACAGTTCCCACTACAGCCACTTGATTTGAAGCGAGGTCCCAAACTCGCACCTGCTTATCTGCACTTGCAATAAAGATCTTTGTGCCATCCTACAATGATGCAACATTTTTACCACGTCGGCTAATCTATGATATCGACGAATATCAAGTGTAATTCGTTGAATTGAATCAGTTATCAATTTATATATTAGATAATAAAACTTGACGAAGGATTTAAACATTTTAAATATAGCAACATAATAGTAACATAAGACACGATTCTTCACATTTCTTTTTCCTTCAGCGAACTTTCTACCAAGTGCAAGAAATCATACAAGAGAGAGGCTATGCATATCGTTGTCTCAAAAAATATCTCTGACAAAAAACGAATCAATCCCATAAAAATCAAAGAAAGTTAGGCAAAACAATCAAATAACCGCGATTATAAGTCCAATGCTGGAAATTTTGATAGAAAGACAAAAATCATAAAAATCATAAACATGAACCTTCTTTCACAAGGTTTCATGTTGCGAAATACACCAGAAGAAATGATTCACATATTGAACTGAGACCTTTGCTGCCTAAAATGATAACCAAACTCACATCAAGCCAATCAACATCTAAAACTGGTCCTGCAACATTTTGTTGCGCTTTTGCTTCACACTGACCGTTTTCACTAATCTGCCATACACGGAGCACCGAATCCCAACTACCCGAAACAAGCAAAACCGGCTGACCAGCAATCTGTGGATTGAATTTCAGTGCTTCAACTGTGTCATCAGGAGGAGACGGCACCTGAAAACACATACCCATCTGAAGAATTTGACTTCCAAAAATTTTTTGGAGAAAAATTCTACGCCCATCTATCAATTACTGAGCGGACAATGCGAGCACATTCACGCATCGTATTATTTATTAAGTAAACACAATAAGCTGCTTCGAATTACTTGAAATGACTCCCTTGTCGTCATCTTGAAAGTTCCCACACTGCATTACAGCCAAATATTTGCAGAAAGATACAGATCTGAGAGTCAAGAATACATTAAAATCTAGCAAGTATGCCGAAGTACTTAGGGCTAGAAAGATAAGTACTTCAGATCTTCCCCTCCCAAATCGTTGACCAATATCCGAGTGTCGATGAGCGGTCAAATTAATGAAAGTGTTGTCCGAAAAGTTTATAATGATGATACAACCCACTTCAATATCGTTCAGCGCATTCTGACTTGTATTGGCTGTGCCTGATGAAAATATACTGCTCGGTCTTGGACCAAAAGCATTACTGGTACCAAACATTAAGAAAATCAAAACCAGCAAGAAATAAAATCTCTTCGAAATAATTTCTTCCTCCTATAAAATTGACACTGTTAACGAAAAAAAAAAAACGAAATCTCATATGGTGTGGTGGAAATTTATCCAACTTCACATCTTCCAAATCAACTAAACGCCATAGTAAGATAAATAATGCAAGGCCATGGCGTGAACACCTTGAAATTTTTGAAAACAATTATTGTTTAACGATTATTTTCACCCAAAACATACCAGCAAAAGTGGAAACAATTAACATGGAAAACCTCAGATGAGAATCTAACTAATTTTGATAGTACTTAGTTACAAATTAAGCATAACGCTATAGTTGTTATGCAAAATTTGGAACACATATATCTATGGAGATCCACCTACCCTACCTATTCACCACAAAAAAAATACCATTAAAAAAGGCATTGTATATAAGTAGATGGTGAATAACAGATACTGAGCAGAGAAAGGAAATGATATGGAATGATTCAATAAAACTTGAAATATGACTTCAAGATAAAGGGAAAAACGGAATATTACAAATCAAAGTGGAAATTTGATAAATAAAAAGAGGCATTTGGGATGATAAACAAAAACTCAATCCGTAAAACATTGATTGCGCGAAACAGCAAGAGAAAAAATAACAATGATTCTTCAATATTATACGCGCGAACAATAAGGAAGCGATCATAAACCAATAAAGCTCTTATGTGCTGCGCTTTCAGGATCAGGAATTTTATCCAGTGCACCTTCGCGTTATATGATTAAAATTGATATTTTTTAAATGACAAATAAAAGAACATATAATCGTGCTATTACATAAGACACACTATTCCCGAATTTATAAATGCTATGAATACACAATACAAAACACAAGTAGGCAATTTAACATTCTTCCGAAAATTTTTGATGATAGTTCCTTGAAGTCAATTACTTCAAACCTGAAATCTATTATTTTTCAAGTGAATTCGCTGGAAAAAACAATTAATTTCGAGTAACTGTATGGTACACCAAGAAATTTTGAATATATAGGCAATGTAATTCAGCGTAAATTCATTAACTGATAACAAAATAAAATAATGTCAAGAAAGTGCATAAATTCCAAGGAAAATATGATGCTTGGAATACGTCGTAACAAATGCAGCAGGAAAAAATTTTTAAACGAAAAAGTACAAAAAATATACTCACAGTATCACATTAGCCTATCGTACAGAACAATGATGTGCATACAGCGTACAAAAGATATAGAAAGTAAAAAAAAAAAACGGTTTTTGAATATAGTAAATAACAGAGCGTCCAATTATGCATTATTATTTCCACAAGGATACCTAATAACCTGTCTTAGATCTAACAAAAGATTCCTCATGACCAGCCCTTATATTTAGTAAACTATTTTTAAGGACTTTGCGCATAAATTTGTCCACTTCACAATATCACCATTTATATTAATTGAAAACAAATCATGTCAGCGCTAACATGAGGTTAAACGATAATATAATATATAGCAAAAAGCGACTGCAACTGCTGCACATGCGCATCCGATACCAGTACGACTAATTGCTATATAGTTCCACTTTTTACGAGCGCCTTCACATTTCAAGAGGCGCGCACGCATCTCTTCTATACGCTTCTTCCTGAATCACTATAATAAAATCATTCAAGATGAATGCGAACCAAAAGATCTGCAATGTGAACAGAACGAAATGCATTTTTTCAAAAACGCCAATATTCAAAAAAAAAAAGAATACCTTTTTGCATGTTTTGTTTCTTTGTCCGTTTCGTAACAGTCAGTGGAAGCTCTTTTTCGAACAGTTGACAAATCATTACAAGATTTGGAGTGTAAATCCGTAGTCATCTGGTTTGCTTGGGATCTTTCCAGGTGTGGCACTTCACCCAGTTCGCCATTAATGTGATTGTTGGGTACAGCCAAAAGATCCCTCCCAAATTTGTCGTCTAATTTTTCATCACATTTTACGTTTTTAATAACAACTCCTTGTCGCAATGCATCAGCAATAGTTTTCCAGCAAAATTGCAACTGTTGAGGTGTTTGAATCAATCCCATCCTTGACCTTCTCATTTCTACAACCAAGTTCGTTATGTCAATCTTCTTTACATTTTGCTCAACCTGCAAATTGTCACTGGCTAAAATTCGAACATCAAGAAGGTAAATTTTGAACTATCAAGAAAAGGAGAGAAACAAAGAGAAAGAGAAAAAAGAAAAACATATAAAGGAGTAAGCTAGTAAATCAAGGAAATTAATTATGCAGATGATTATGATTACACAAGACGGTGAAAAACAATAAAGAACTACCACGGAAACCTTGAAATTTAATTTATGAACAATAGAATACCATTGACAAAACCGAGTCTGCTACCACAAATGTCCCACTGCGACCAATACCAGCAGAACAATGCACTATAGTAGGTTCCTTTCCAGATAAAAGTCCGGTTTCACGTACTTTTTGCAAAAATCCAATAAACACAGCAGTTGAATGAGGAACACCTAAATAAGAATTTTAAGTAAAGTGTTCCACTATGCAAGAACTGCAAATCCAATTAGTTTGTCTTTCTAAAAAACAAAAAAAAAAAAAACGATTTACCAAAATCAGGCCAACTTATGAAATGAAAATGTTTGACTATGCGTGGAAGTGGTTCATCAGGTCCATTTTTTTCTAATAAAACATCTCCATTTTTCCGCAAGAGTTCCAAATCTCGAATCACATAGTCATCAAAATCTTGTTCTTCTTTTAGAACCACATTAAAAGAATCGAATTCGCGCACGGGACTGCCCAGAGATGGAAAATAGTCATGACATCTAAAAGTGTCGATAACTTTTAATGAAACAATTATAAATCAATCAGATAATATTCATATTTCATAAATATAAATCTGAAGGATGTTTAAAAAAGTACTCCAGTTTTTGAAATCAAAAATTTAATGTAAAGCAACTAAAAAAAGCACAATATACTTTGGCAATCCTTTTTCTACCAGCTTGTTTAACATAATTATAAGCGTACTATTCTGCTCCCATACCATCTGCCAAAAATCATTACTGGTTGTTGAAAGTGGCCCCTGAAACAATAAAGGGAAGTACTTGGAAGAAACATTTCAACTTCTTTATGAAATTTTAAGTTTCATAAATTGACAATAACCTGTGTTAAAATATAATTACGTTTGGCAGTTGGAACGAGTAATGGCGAAGCGTTAATATAATCAGAATGCTCACTATTTTCCCGCTTTAGCATAACACGGCTTGTATCATCTGGAAATTAAAGCTATAAAAGGGATAAAATTAGAATATAATAATAAAAGGATAGTATTAGTTAATCAATTACCGTCGTGTGCATGACTTAGAAATGATACTTCACAATATTACCACAAGTTGATAGCGCTGATAATATATCATTTTTGAAATATCGTGAGATATCACTTTCAAAAAAAGGGCTAGGAGAACTCCTAAAACATTAAACAAGCATGGACATAATTTTGCAACTGAATAACAATAGACTAACATGCTAATACATTCCGATAGCGGTTTCTCTCAACATTCTCCCATGAATGCGCAACCTTTGTTGTCAGTTTCAACTTTTTCTCTTGTTTGCAAGACTGTTTATCTATCTCCTAAAATCGATTAATAAATATTAGAAAGGGTTCATCCTAAGTGAATCATTAAATATAAATTGTGAGAAAAGAATCAAAAGTATGATACTTGATAAATAGAATTCCATGAATGGTTGTCTTCGATTTCATTATACATTTCTACGAGCTGCTCCATTGCTATCTCTCGATGTCAATCTTAACTCGATGTCAACCTTAACTAAAACATCCGAACATTATTCTTGTAGTATAAATCTTGAATTAATCCATGGATAGTTACAACAATGGAACTAAGTTATAGTTAAATGCCACTGCTTACGATAGATCTTTAGGAACAGGTATTCCATTTCAACTGTCAAAATTGTAAAATTGACTGTGCAAAGTTTTTTTTTGATTAATTGGAACTTTGAAGAGAATTTGAAAAAGAATGCGTAAGATTAAAGTACTATGGGTAACAGAATTAGGAATGATCTCTGCATAACAAGTGTGCAAATAAATTATCTTTATTGCCTAGCTTTAATTGTAAAAATTGGTGTTGATAGCAGAAATAGTTCAAATTAAATGAATGAATGAATGTGATAATATCACATTATTTGCTATTTGGTTGAAAGTAAAAAATGTGAAATATTTAATGTTTGTAATTTAAATTTAAAAGGTTCCAAAAAAAAAACTAAAAAGAACAAAAATGTATAATAAAATATATGGACACATAAACATACACGTATACATACATAAGTCAAGCTATAACAATCCTTCATTACAATGATATCAATGCCATATGAATTGCAAAGGCGAAAATGAAAATCAGAACTGATCATTTGCGAAAATATTTCAGAAATTCCATCACCTCTTGTCGCAACTCTAATTTAAACAATGAATGAGAAAATACCGCACCAAACACCAAATACTATCAGACAGCGCGACATACACCAATAAATTTCTCATTACCCCGCGATAAACTTCTCTCTTCCCAGTATTTCGCGGCTAGCCACTAGTCAATAAACGACTGATTCATTGGATCCAAGTCGTAATAAGTGAAAGAGTGAAGTTGAATTAAATTTCGAAACTTAGGAAGATGCTATAGTAAACTGTGGTACTGTGATTTTACATGGAATTAGATCTGAAGCATTTGTGGATAGGCTAATTTTAGCTAAACTTTCATTTTCCTCTGTAAGAGTATTTATTATTAGAAAAGTTACATTTGAGGTTGATGAAATGGCAATGAAGCAGTTTTATTGTTTTCATTCTTTCTTTTTCCAGTCGTGGCTTTTTGTATCGCTTTCACGTACGTTTTAACGACTCTAAGTTAATTTCATTATACAGGAAAGGCAGTGTGCTCTGTTTTGTTCTGTCCGGTTAGTTTTATACTAATCACACTTCAAATGTCTTGTATATTCAAGGAATTTTTTTAAGGCAATCGCATTACAGTTTATTCGGGATGCAGTGTGATAAATAGCTCTTGTTTCTAACCTATAAAGAATGGTTTTTTTTCTTTAAGAGAATTCAGATAGGAGGAGGTTGTGATATATGAGTGAATCTATTGCTTTAGCAATGTTGCAAAATTAGAGAGGTGAAATGATTTTTGAGGATGACGAGGTCTATAATAATGATAAGTTAAAATTGATTCTTATTTATTATTTATGCACATCTGAGCGAATAATTAGAATTAGTTTATGTTGAATACGTAAAGAAATCACAGCTTTCACCAAGAACTCGAAATAGATGGTGCACTTTATCTCAGTATTGTAAAATTTAATTTTCAGTTCCTTATTGCATAAGATATTGATATAATTCTTATTATTTTAACGTAATTATTGCAGCGGTATATATGAAATGATGAAGAAATCAGAGGATAAGCTTAATGAAACTTTCGATCGATGTCTGGCAGATACAGCGCTGAAGACTGTAAGTGCTGGGACCGTTGGTTTAATAGCTGCAGCAATATTTAAAAGACAGTTTCCACTTTGGTTAGGTGTAGGCATGGGTTTTGGTATGGGTATTGCCAACTGCCGTCATGATATGAGAAAGTTCATACATTCTGAACAAGATTCGGAGCAGAAATCGAGTTTTAAAATGATCGAAGAACCTGGAAATGCAGAAATTCAGCCTCAGTAACTATTGTTTCCGAAGTTTTGTTTGTTTTATGCTAATGTCGTTTGTCATAATTACCAGATTAAGAGTTTATATTAATATAAACGATTATGAAAGGTTAGATGAATACTAAATTTAGTCTTCGGAGAAATGATCTTCCGGATAGAAACCACTCATTATTATTAGCACATTCATTATTATTAGCACATTTTCTGTCACACAATGTATGTATAAATACTTCAATTGAAAATTTTTAGCCATATACTTTAACAGTCCGGTCAATAATTTGCATTATTTTTGGTGTGGTAGGATGTAATTGTCAATAAACTTTTTAAAGACATTTATTTGGTCCAGTAGATGTCTCTTTTTCTTGAAAGCTGTGTTTATATTTTGCAGACTTCTCGGTTATTTGAATACGAAAGTTGTGAATAACCATTCGTTCAACCGCTTAAGCTTTCATATTTCTAGCTGAGAAGGTTCATAACTGGAGATAATTAAAAAATTGGATTATCTGAACAAATGATCTTTTTGAATGATGCAGTAAAATTTGTAGTAATGATTCCTTCCTATAATATTAGTGATTCTTAGGTTTGCTTTTGAAAGCTTGCTTACGAGTGCTTCCATGGATGAAAAACGGGTCGATTGTGCTGATTTGTTAGCATTTCAGGTAGTTTTGACATTCTTACTTTTATCAAAATTTCAACCAGTTCATGCATGTACTTTTTCGATTTGTTAAAGATTTATGCAAGAAAATATATACTGTTGATGGTTTTCATTGTGACGTAATGAATGCGACTAGTGAAATATAATAAAAGAAATAAGTTGTGAGAGATTAAGATTGGACTTATAAAATAACAATTGGGACTGATAGGTCAGAAATGACATCTGTGTCGTAGTGAATCGATATTTCAATACTAGTGGTTTACGCGAAACACTAGAAGAAATCATAGACTTTGAAACATCGCAGTAGGGATTACGAGACTTTTTGATTTTATATAATTGCTTAATATCTTAATACAGAAAAAGAAGAAACTATAAGGATTACGGGTTAAGAACTTATTTAAAATCTTAATATAGGAACTAGATAAGGATTTTAAGGATCACGGAATTTCTTGCTTTTATATTAATATCTTAATATAGAAAAAGGAACGGAAAAAGAATTTTTCCTAATATACAGAAAACGAAGGAATTGTAGGGTGTTTTTCTAGAACTTGATCTCACATTAATTTATTTCTGTCTTATACGTATTCGCAGCAAGAAATTGATTATTTTCAGGACATGTTGAGTGAATTACGACAGGTCGATGACAAAATATTGTTTGAACTAAATACTGCACTGCCTAGCGAATCATTTTCCGTCAATGTGGACAAAGGCGAGAAATGTCGTGCTATTTATAAGAAGGTAATAAACATAAACCAGCCACTTTGTCCCAAAAAAAGACCATCGATGGTCTTTTACTATTTGTAGGATATTTTATGTTCGAAGAAAACATTATACCATCTTCTAGCTTCTTGATAAAAGTTTCCCTAATTAATTGGCAAAGACAGCAATGATCTTTCCAGTTGTTAACCATGAGAGTTAAAAGAATGAATTTGATACAACATTGCATCGACAAAAATCAAACGAACATTGCTCGTCTACGAAAAGAAAAATCACCAATAGGAGATATTCGCAATGCTCAAAATACGGTTAGTTTTCTGTTTGCTTTATTTTCGTTTCTCTAAGCAGTATGACACTATGCTTTAGGCAGTTAAACTGAATTTTTGTAGCTCCGAGTTATCCGATCAGAAATGGATGTTGAAAGTATTGTTAATGAGCGGAGTGAAAAAGCCGTCCATGACCGGTGTAGGACCTTCTTGTGAATTTTATTTTTATTGATTTTATGTTGAACATATTGTTCTACATTGTGGCAGAATGCATTTTTAGTTTTTTTTTGTTTACAATGCTCACGAAGAATAAATATTTTATAAGTTAGACTTATCAAAGAAGGTTATGAACCATTGAGAAACAAATATATATATCAATTCACCGATGTAAGCTTTATCCCCCTATTACTGCTGCCATCCAAGTATGCAATTATTTTTCTTCATGTTTTTATGAAATAACATACAAAAAATACAAAACAATGACAAAGTGATTTCCTAAATGAGTTCTTGAAATATTGTCAAACAGTTCAAAATGAATATTATCACTGACATATCCAACTAAATTAAATTAATATCTCTGGGTGTATATCCAAAATCATTGATAATTATTCAAAGAAGGAAGCGCAAAACTTGCTTCCAATTGTCGCTGATGATCTGCAATAAACTGCAACTTTTGTGCTAATAACGAAGAACGCATTTCAGCAGTTTTAACAAGCGACCCAGCACTTTTTAGATCGCAAGATACATAAATAATTTGCAAGGTAAGACTGTGTGCGGCCGCATCTGCTTTCATTGCACTTTGTTCCCAATCTTCTGTTGGCCATCGACGAGTGGATGTTTGTGCATCTGCTCTGCAATTTTAAGTTTTGATCTACGCAACTAGAACTGACGTATAAAATCACAAAAATCCAAGGACACTTCTTGGCACGTAAGCTATGTTGTAAATCGAACGGTTCGATTTTCATATTTATTACTTACCATGAGTAGCGACTGTTCCTGGCATGTTACTGTGGTTTGTAATACTCAACAGATTTGATAGTTAACAATCCCACTAATAAAACCGTTAACATATAAGAGAAGTGATATTTTTGTAACTTGACTTATGGACACAGTTTACATCATATACATTTTGGTAAAAGGAACCTCAGAAATCGCCGGTGCTGTTCTTCGGAAAAAACCACGGAACCGATTGCATCCTCTTCTTTAATTTCAACTTTTGGACGTTTGGCTCTCACAACTGATTGAGTTGCATCATGCGTTTTCATTTTATTTTTCACATCACTATTATTACCAGATGGTGCAGAGTCTGCTGAAGTGGCCAAATATATTCCTGCGGCATTACTGTTTGACGGAATACGAACTCCAGCTGCAATCATATTTTGTGTTAAAAATATATACTGATTAATTTGTAAAAAAAAGTCTGTAAAATTCTCGTTAACTCAACACTGATATAAAAACTATGGGTAGGTGCGTCCGTGTTCAATGTTTTGTGAACGTTCAAACTGCACTCAAAATCTTAACTCTTCAAATCTCAACTAGCATGTTGATCACTGACATCAATATGATTATGAAGCAGGAAAAAAAGTCGGCAAAATTAGTCTAGAGCTGTTATTCCAAGCAGTTAATTCAGACTGGTTTAAAAATGGATAAATATGGCAATATAAACATCTTATTATATTAAACGTAGATATTAAATTATAGCAATGCTTTTCAATTTGTCTTGGCAAAGAGACATGAAGCTTAAGTAATTAAAGTTAAGAAAAGAATGCAGAGATTATAAAAAATAAGTCATTTTTTAAATATTGGTAAATAAGGTAATAAGGGATCCACAACCCAAATATTTTTTTGATAATAAGTAGACATTATTTAAGAAGAAAAGCTCTTTTACATACAAGAACAAAACAATGTTAAAATAAACATATATTGTAGAAAACTAATCTGTGATGGTTTAATTGAGGTTTGTAATGAGAGTAAGAATCATTTTTCCATTCGATATAAATGAATTTAAAAGTGGATTCTAGATAATACGATATTGATCGGCTGATATGCCGTGATCTAGGTGACAAAGTCTATTCTACTTCAATAATTTCTAGCCACAGTCAGAATCGAAACGGAGAAAAAGCTCACAAGCAGATGAGATGGGACTTTGATTTGCGGCATTTTCAGATAGAAACTTTTCATATTCTCGCCATTCAGGAGGTTTCTCCCATTGTGACACCTCAGTTTCTCGATTATAAAAGTAGCGCTTCCCGGCTGAACTATACTGCTCTGTCCACGGGCCAAACTCTTTCAGTCGTGCGTTCGATGATGTCGTCGATTGTCGATCCTTAATTACATATTCTTAAATTGTTTAATGCAAATAATAATTGTGAAACTCATGCTGTTCTACCCCAATGAATGCTTCATCTTCTGATACAACTAAAACTTCAATTATAATTTTACTCATATATAATAATATATATATAGTTCAAGATATATATATATAATATATTGATACTCAAAAATTTAAATAAATCTTGAACTAGAATCCCAAAAAAATAGTCATTTATAATTAAATGTTAATAGAAGTGAAACAGTTAAATCCTACCATAAGCGGAGCGTCGAATGAACTGTAGACCACTATAACCTAACAAAAAAAGCACAGAGCCAAAATCACCCATCTAGAAACGAAAAGGCTCTAAACCGGTTTATTCTTGAAGTACATCTCAATTGATAATGATGATGCGTCCTGTTCCACAATGGAAAATCATAATGAAAACTCTGATCTCACACAATGTATTATTTGAAAGAATTTGATGGAACTGTAAGAGATGGGGATAATCTTTCAAAGTCCGAATTAAACTTAAATCACTGTTGTATTCTGAAGTAGTTAGAAAGTAATGGAATTAAACAGAAACTCACCGTTACTTTCATCTCCTTTTTTGACGATGATAATTACTCTCCTATTCTGTTTGTTTCGGATGATCTTTATCCATTTCATTTTTTTCAGCCATTAGATATTTTTCTATATTTTTTTGATATTGCTCAATTCTTCAGATGACTGTATCCTTTCTTCGCAACAATGAATCTCAACTCTCATATCCTAATATTTTGTGATCATTCTCTCCTATCAGACTATCTCATTTGTTTCACGAAGTCTAATTTCAACAGTGTTTGCAATTTCATTTCGAAATTTTTTATAATTTTATATATTACTTCTACCGTCTATGTCCTTTTTTCGCTCATGTCTTATTACTTTGTCTGTAGTTTATTGCTATCCGTAAAATTTCAGTATGCAGTTTGATATACTTGATATTTGTAAATGATTCGAATTATTGTATCCAGTAATATGGTAATGAACCGTTGTTATTATTCATATTTTACTGTTGCCCGCGCTCTTTTCTATCTCGTTCCAGTACTTTCCAGTTGTCAATCTATACGCAGTGCTCAATATTGCAATTCCTGATTCAATCCTTTCTTTGTTTTATAATTATATCGAACATTCGGTATCACTCAAATACTCCAATGGAATATTTTACTTCTCTATGCAACGTTTTCTTGAATTCTTCCTTCCTTTCTATCACTTCAAATATATGATATAGATATATGATATTAACAAAGTAGCTTAAAATTTGTTTTCTGTTTTGATTTGAGGACTATTCATACTTCTTTCATTCTTCTATCCCATTATTCCGTAAAGGATATAATATATTTATATTACTTGCAAGATAATTTGTGGTTATCATTCACTTATTGTATCAGACTATCAAACGTATCAGTCTCAGATGTTTATACTTTCATTATGATGCCTATCTTTTTATGCAATTATCACAAATTTATTTATTATCTTTATATTATTTTCACGAAATACCTTCGATCTTAAGAATTCCTTTATTATTCTTAGATATTTCACGCTACTTTCTTTCTCATTACTGCATTGTTATTATTTTTATACCATCCAAGTCTTCATTTCGGTCAAGAGCTCTCAGTATAAATGGCAACTTCTTTTCAATGAAGAATTGTGCATGTGAGAATGTAAAGTCAATGGCATGAAATCATTGTCACTACTTGATATGCACGAAATGATACGATCATCTTTTTACATGTAATTTAATTGTCATGCAGTGTTAGGAAATACTTCGTACTTCTGATTCTACTATTCATTGATGCCATAGCTACTGGCAAAAATGAGAATGGAACATTTAAAATGTACCTTGTTTATCTCATATTACTAGTTATTTATCGGTATTGACATTTCCATTCTTGTCAAACGTTTACAGATATGATTCCTGATCTATTGATCAGTTATGGTGTGAAATTGAGAAGACGTTAATGAGAATAATGATGACTGTAATGATCACAATTGAATCTGTCAGTTCCTAATTGACAACAAAAGATCGTTTATTGTTTGCTCCATTCAATGATAATTTTATGTTGATGAACAATATCACGGATTTATAACGACACTTCTTGTCCTCATTCTTTTTCTCCACGATTATTGCTTCTCTTTACAATCACCTCGTTTTTTTTCAGTTAATTTTTTAAATGAGAAATGTGAACTTCTTATTTGAATCTTTTCTATCTTGCTAAGTAATTTTGAAGGCTATACTCATTTATACCAGTGATATGTTCCTGACGATTCGTTTGCATCGTTTTTGCTTTCTTTAGTTAAATAGTAAATAAGTAATTAAATTTCTAAAGGAAGAATAAATATTCCAGTATACCATCGCTGCTGAGAGAAGAAACAAATTCAAAATTTAATGAACTGTTTTGAGCTAGTGGCAACTACTGCTAAACTGGTTCTTTTTTAAATATCAAAATGACAATTTTAAGGAATTACGAATATTTTATCGCCTTAGTATGTGAGAAAGTAGAGATCTCAAGATAATGGGAGATCATGCGAGTGCACATCAAGAGGCCAGATATTCAATTATAAATAAGAAGGGTACATTTTATAACTGGCAATCATAAATTTTACGGTTGAAGGTCATAGTTTGCCGGAAGTGTTATCTATAGTAGAAGTAATGAAAACCTAGATAAGTCATCGTTTAATGTAATGTTTGCTGGATTAAGTATCGACTAAATAAAGGAAGAAATAAATGCATTTCAAATTTGAAATTTTATATTTTGATTTCAGAATATTATAAAGCTGATAATATCATGCATTTATACTACGTAAGCCTACGATCAGTTTATCACTACTGGCCAATCATACATCCCCTATCTCTACATTATCCTATACTTTAAGCGTAGTATTATATTTTTGTCGAATTACTCCCGTAAATATCTTTCACATAATAATAATATGAAAAAGAATTTTTAAAGGAAATTGAATAAGGACCTAATAAATGATCTCGCAAACATGTGATAATAGCAATGATAATTGCCGATAGCAATAATAATATAACAAATATTTAAAAAGTTAATTATAGTAATATTTTACCAATCGCAATAGTAATATTTAGAATGGGAGATCGAATATAAAATGTGTATCGATTCTTCTACCGAAACATTTATAATATTTTTATTGACAATATCGTTAGCAATAATGTGTTTCAAAAACTTTTTTCTCCCTTTTTTTGCAACAACTGGTCTAGCGAATTTATTTACACACCTACTATTTATGTACACTTATTCAAGGATTTGTGTTTGTGTTTAGAATTACGTGTTGATATAGCAATAAGCTTCACACAATATTTCGTCAAATTACAGTTGTGATTGTAATAGCTTTTATATGTCAATTGCCTTTGTTATGTTATTGATGCATCATTATCAGAAATAAATCTATGATACGAATGATTGATTGCGTGGAATACCCGTTGAGTAATGGAACTAGCTCCTCAGGAATAATGAATTCTTCAAAGAGCAGGTTGTTTTTTCTTATATTAAAATTTCTTCACATAATCTGAATTGTAAAATATTATAGCAATGGCATTTATTTGCCTTTGCATCATTTTACACTACTTCCTTACACTTTCTTCCATTCAGTTCATTTTTTAATGGACGGAAAAGATTTTTTAAGCCTGCAAAATTGTTTAACGAGGAAGTAAAAATTCGAAATTTAAATTTGAGCAATTTCATCGAATTGCCAAGTATTTTTAAAACTCAAAATTCCAAAGATTTTCTTTCAATGTCTTTAAAGTTAGAAATTTCAAAATTAAATGATTTAATCAGTCGCAATAAGTATACTTATGTCGCACAAGTTATAAAATCTGTTTTCCTCTTCATCATCCAATCATTTCTGAAAAGAGAAAATTGTAACGAATGAGTTCTTCAATCATTATTTTTAATACCAAAATTCAAATGTTTGGATTCATTTTTAAAGCATTGATTAAATGTAAGCTTTTTCGATTTCTAATTTTCAATTTTAGAATTTATACAAACTTTGAGCATTTACATTTCTTTTCGGTTTGTGAAGCTAATTTTCTTTGTATCTGTTCTGGCAAGTCATGAAGGCAACAAAGAAATAGTGAAATTTTTGAGACCAAAAGAAATGTTTTTTCATATGTAAACCATCGAGCCGAAAAGAAGCACTAAATCATAGTGATGAATGATATCGATGTGAAATAGAATTAGCTCCAAGCAAAATTATACAAATTGCAATTTTTATAAAATTTTTAAAATGAAAAGATTAAAGTTTACTTTATTTCTATTGTGCGAAACATCAAATGACAATGAAATGATATGCGACTTAATTTGTATAAATCAAATGGGAAAAAAACATAGCAATAAGTTTCAAATTTTATTTTTGGGCATCCACACTTTCTTTCTTACTTTACTCTATTCAATTTCCTGAAAATATTAAACAGAAAACTTTATGACGTTTGTCACGTATCATCATAAATCCTTTACTTTGTTCTACAAATAATATATTTTAGCTGAAATTCATATTTATATATGTAACATATATTCCTTAATAAACTTTAATGAGATTATACAAATACAGTCGGAGAAGTGGCGGTTAGGGGAATATTCAGGTAGGAAATGAAATGGATATATCTATTTCAGATATTGTTGCAGTTTGTAGTAGGAAGAAATGAAATCACGAGAGAGAGAGAGAGAGAGAGAAGGAAGTTATCTCATTAAAATGTTCAAACAATGAATAATTTCTCATCTAACAAAAAACCAATTGAGTTTAATGGAGATAATATTGTTTAGAAAACTAAAAAAGATTGTCTTTATATCTTTTTCTCTTCCATCTTTTCCTTTGATTGATAGAGGCACTCTCAAAAATATTTCCTAAATTTTTGACAATCTATAATTAAAATATGAAAAATAATTTATGCATTTTACATAAGAAAAGTGTTAAGTCACAGCTCAAATTATGAACTATTTCATTTCAAAAATGACCTCTCTTCATATCTGAGGTATATACTCAAAGCTTAACATCTCTTAAAAGTTAGAAAAAATTTTCGACAATACCTGTCAGATCAAAACAAATAGAGAATGTATAGATTGATTGGAAAATTATAAGAAACAAAATTTTTGAGTTAATTTTTTTATTTCACTATCTGCAATATGATACATCAAGTTTCTGCAAATTTTGAAGTTTACCATTAGTTCCGTTTATTTGCGCCAAAGGTCACATATTATTATATAGCGCCAGATTCGATTGTGTTCATATTTGTAGGTCTTGCATTAATAAAACTCAATGCCAAATGCATGGATTGGGTTCATATCTAGCGTAATGAATTTATTTATTGCAGCTATCTAGTTTCCTAAGGCATTAAGCCAAATCCAGATATGAGAAAACGGAAAATTAATAGTTTAAACATAGTCTTCAGTTACTATTAGTTATTGATATTTTTGTTATGATAGTGTCTGCAATTGTAAAAATAACAACTATACAACAGCAATAATACTAAATGACAAACGATGATGGTAAAGCTAGTTGCTGGACAGATAGACCAATGGCGAGAGATGGTCCTCATATACGTTCAAGGATGTCATATTGCGCTTCTGATGGAATGATGATCGTAGAAAACATCGCAAGATGTGATATCGAGAATAGCAAAACTCTTTCTATCTCTCCCCGTTTCTTCCCATCCTTCTTTCTTAAATGTCAAATCATCATCATCTTACACGACTGTCACCTTCCTTTACATCGTTTCTTTTCACATACATACACATGCATAAATGCAAAACTGTTGCCATCTAACTTTCTATGTTTCTCTCTCCCTCTCCCTGCACCTATTAGATTTATCAACTACTCTTGTTTGTATAAAAGTTTCATCTTTGGGGGAACGAAACATACATTTTCGAACTGTATTTCAAAAAGAAAAATTCGTCAACTTGTGGCAGTCACCGTTCCCTGCCAGCTCTGTCTTTACGCTGGCAATTGCTGGAATTCCTTCTTTGCGTCGCTTGGCGCTCTCAGCCACATTGACACATTTCAGATGTTCACTTCTCATTATTACGCCAAGTCGATCCATCTGTCCATTCCATCCTGAAGCACTTTTCCCTTTCCTTATCCCGCATCCAACGAACAGTACTTTCATCATTTTACACATTCCTCTATCAATCACCGCAGTATTAACGGCTGAAAATTTAAACATTCTTTCCCAGAGCAATCTACTGCTTCCAAATTCTACCTCATTCTAGTCATTCTTTTGTTGTACTCTCTGATATCCAATATCATAAAGATACCAATTTGGTAAAGCCAATTTATATGGCACCTTGTCCACAAGTAATTTCGACAGCGACACCAACTTCACTGATTCCATTTGCTCTAAGGACATCCGGTTGCAATGCAACTAGGGAACAAGGATCTGATTCCGCACCTGTAAAAACCATTGCTTTTACTATCATTGATCATCGATACGCTAGTAAAGTTACTACTATTGAAGAATTGGATGTTAGTTCTTTAGGACTACAAGCTGCTCTCCAGAAGGTAAACTTTCATCTTTAACTATTAGCAGATCGATGAGCGACACGTGTATTCACATGAATTCTTTATTTGATTCTTTTCTCAGAGCACTATGACTTAATGATATTTATTAGCGAAATAAAAATTTGAAATCTTTCTATGGCCTCATTTCTCTTTTTTATATTTGAGCACTCTATTTGCTAATTATTTTTTTCCTTTTCAAATTTTTTGCAGTTGCTGAATTTCATTCGCAATAATCTTTTGATGATGTACAACCAATTTTCATTATTATTATTACGATGATTATTATTATTGTTAATTATTAATTATTATTATTTTATTATTACTATCATTGTAGGCATGTACTACATCAAATACAAAAAATACAATATTTCTCTTTATATTTCTCTTTACCAAATACCAAATTCAAATACCATATTTCTCATTGTCTCGGAAAACGGAATTGTTATATGATCGAAATAATTTCTAATTCATACTGCATCAGATATTATATAAATTAAGTAAGCTTGAAATTCGTAAACTTGAAAGTAATCGATCTAAATAATTTTATCTTTTCTAAAATAATTAAAACCAGAAATAAAAACAATGATCGTCGTAATTAAATTTTTATGCGATTGTTTAAAACTTTTAACGACGAATTAGAAAAAAAAAATCTCAAAATGAGCAATTAAAATTTTTCATGTTGTGATTTCCACAACGTATTGTTAAAAACTTCAAAATGCTTGGAAGAAAATGAAAAATGAAAATTTGCCTTCTAATGTTATCACGGGACTCTCTCCTTCAAATAATTACTTAAATAATTAAATAATTACTTAAATGTGATGGCATCGATTAACAATTCAAATTATTCAAAGCAAATATATATGTTGTTGTTCATAATCATATCATAAGCATAGTATAATCGTAATGTAAAAGCATTGATTATAATAAAAATCGTATTAAATCATACTATAAACTATTGATTCATTATCATTATCATTATTAATGAATTAGAATAGCTCTTAAATTAAAATAAATAATGGAAGAATTAAACAATTCAATAGAATATACCAATTAAACAGAAATATGCTGATGGGTCTATATGCTGTCACAAATCTCATATCTACTATATTAACATTGTAAATTATTTAAAAGTTCCATTTTGAATTACAGATTGAAAATACGGTACAAGCTGGTTCATTATTAGTAACAAATGGTATTAGTGCCATCAGACAGGTGTTGCATCCTCTTGCATTACGGTTATCCTTCACATTATCTCCATTCTTCCACAAATTTCTCGATATCTCGCGATTTGAAGCTTTACCAGCTGATGGGGAATGCTCATTAGAGGATGAATTGGATCTGATATGTGACAGGATACATTATTTATGTGAGGGTGAGTGAAAGCTTTTCGATTAATTTTCATTTCCTTTTTTTACTGACAAACTTTTATTAGGCTATGTTAATTTATTATAGTTTTTTAATAATGAATTCTTCTTTTTAGTTTCTACCTAACTGATGAAATTTTTTTCATTTTTATACATTCCAGAAGGTTCCTTTACTTCTTCTTCTATAACTGAGCTGGCAGCAACAGCGTTCTATGATTTAACTTATTGATATTTAAAAGGAAAGAAACTTTTTTGAAAATTATTTCACTTTTTTAAAGATATTATTCGAGTTAATTTTAATGTGTATACATAATTTTAATATAAAACTATACTATAAAAAGAATTTAATTTTCAATCTGAGTTATTTTAATTTACAGTTTTACCATTCAATTTTTTATACTGTATTTTCAAAGTGAAGTTTCTCCATGGACTTTTCATTTTATTTGAAAGCACCACATATTTTCAATATTTCATTTGTGATTTCAATCAGAATTCAAATAATAATCACCCGCTTTAATCTCTATTTTATAAATAACACTATTAATTAAGATTGCGTAAATTGAAAACAAAATTTCTCAACATAGATCATATATTTTTACCTGCCAGATAATTCGAGAACGATTTTGAAAATTGAACTGTGATTCAAGTTTATTACTTACTCACTATATTATCTGTTGGTGACATTGGATTCTTTGGATTAAAAACGATCCACTAATTTATTCTCTCACATATTCTTACTTGCAACGAAGATTTAAATCGATTGATAAAATGAGAATATGTTAATCGAAGGTATCAATCTCATTGCATAAGATTTAATTGTTTTAATCAAATAATTGAAATCAAATAATCATTGTAATTGAATAAAAAAGTGGGGTTATAAAAAAAAAATGAAGAAAATTTTGAAAATAATTAATAGTATTTGACCGATTTCAAGGCAGAAAAAAATTGAATAATTTCAATAGCTTAAATTCATTTATTTCCACTTCACATCATAGAACTGCGAATTTAAAATGATACTGTTGAAAGGAACTTAGCAGAGATTGATGATGAGATGGGAGGTTTGAATTTTCTTCAAATTTATTCCGCATAACGAACTGAAGAAGGTCACCCACTTTTAGGATGATAAATAGTTTAATCCACGTTCTTACCACATTTCACCAAGCTGATGATTGCGCTCCCACAAAAGATACCGGTAGTTGAGAAGATTAGTAGGCAGGAAATAATGCAGTGCTACAAAATAATTTATAACTTTTACCAGACACATTTTAAAATATTTTAACAAACGGGACTGAAAGAATCAAATTGTTTTTTTGATATTTTAAAATTACAAATGTTTAAAATGACTCTCTTCTCCGACAGCAATGTATCCGCGCTACCATAATTATACTCACTCCGTACCACACATGCATTCTGCGCCTTCGTAACAAATGTATCTGTCACCTGTCGTACACAATATGTCTATTGATTTTAAGGGTTCAAATAATCTTAAACAATTTCATTCCTCTTGACATAATTACAAACTAGCTTCCGCACATCATTTGTATACCACCATAAAGAAATTTGTCAACAGAACAATGTGTTAACATTAAGCAGCGACACTCTCTCTGTCATCCTTGACCTTGTCTGTCCATTTCTTTTATGACCATTACCAAATAACTTTAAGAGAATGAATCAAATCTTGTACTTCTTTATCTGCACTTCATTAACCTTATGTTTTCATCATATCATTTGTTTAAGAGATCGAAATGAATCTGTTAGTGAAGCAATTTCATAAACAAATTATTGGCATATTAAAAAATTGGAAAAAAATTTCTAACAAAAAGTTTTTGACTTACTTTTGAGACAATCTTAAAGAATATATCTTAAAAGTACAATTCCTTTATTTAATCACTTCACATCATTTTGTGAAAATTGTATTTACATGATTATTTGATTTTTATCTAATATATTAGATAACTGAAATTAGTTTGTCAATCAGAACTTTATGTTTTTAGTGGTAACAATGTGAAGGATATTTTTAAATTGAAAGTGAAATAGAATATCCTAAAAAGTATCTTCAGAACAATGCATTTTTGGATTGTTCAAGTAATAACAAGATGTTTTATGGGTATGATAAGTATACTGTTAGTAGTTAATGTTATTTGTGATTGTACAGGTAAAGTAGGCATTGCATTCGTTCCACTGTTGACAATGTCCACCTGTACTTATCCATCATAGGATAACAAAAATGAAAAAAAAAAAGAAGTAAAGAAAGCAATTGAATTTTCTCTCCAATAATCTAATCAAAGAATTGTTTCATTTTTTCTTGTTAAGAGAGATTCATTGCAGTGAGAGAAGAGATTTGCGAATAAACTTACTTATCCGTATTCCAATGTTTCGCGATATTCTCTTGAAATGATTTATGATTGGTTAGATCAGTAAGGGTAGTCAAAAATTCCTACACATTGTAAACAAACGAAATTAATATTAAACAAAAGAGTTTAAAATCAATTTTACCCTTTGGCAGCTGGCAGAACGAAAGAATAATCTTTTTGAAAATATAATAATTGTAAGCTAATTTGTTTTTCATTTCATTCTAAACGTTTATCAAAAAATATTTGATGTAAATAGTGAAAAAAAAAGAAAACTTTAATGTTTAAAATATTTCGATAAAGTTGAATTTTGACAGCTTTACAGGAACCGAAGATTTCATTGGATCTGTTGAAGACGTAAAAACCGAACTACGCAATGCAATTTGGTTCGTTTATTGCAGTGCTATTTCAATTTTTTTAATTCATTTGCATTATTAAATTCTAACCATTTTAAATTTCCAAAGAGCTGAAATTCTTTAAGTAATAATTTCGATGAAATTTTCCTTTACTTTTAATATTAATTGTTATTTCAATGTTTTTCATCAAAAAATCACAACTTTTACTTGTTATCTTAATGAACTATCCTTTCTTCACATTTTTGTAGAATATTTATTTTTAGATAGAAATTGATTTAAAATTCTTTTGCCCCTAACAAATAATTGGATGAAAACGTTTTTCTATCCAATAATTTTTAGCTATCATATTTCAAATCAAAATTGAATAATTGACAGCTTATTGTTTCGAAAAATGCATTACGGCAATAAATACCAGCAAGTGCAAGGCATTTGAATTATCTTTAAAACTCAGTTTTACTTCAGTCATCTATTAAAATCTTAAAATATTCTAAATTTGTAGCTTTAATCAAAAAAGATAAATCATTAGAAAAGTAAAGCTAAAATTCAATTTCAAAAATTCGTTATTCCTTCTTCTATTTTTATTTCAGATTAATTAGTGTAATTACATTTTACAGCTCTAAATCTGAAAGTTTTTATTCTGATTTTGTTTGGAAAATCAAAAATTTGCAAGTATCATTATTATTGTTAGATACGAAAACTATCACTGTTAAGTAAAAGTATCGCAAAGTGTTGAATCAATCGTTACGAAAAACTCGGCAATTTGAAGTTCTTCTTATCTCACTTCAGTTTACCGGAAACTTCGCTGGTTTCCGAAGTGGTTGTTCGTACCCGTGGTCTTCCCTGGCAAGCAACGGATCATGACATTGCACAATTTTTTATCGGATTAAATATTGCCCCGTGAGTATATGTGCATTTTTTAGCATAATTTTTTTAGTAGAAACTGTATCATACACATAATGGAATTTTGAAATAATTATTATTCCTTACTTTCAAGAGTGGATATTGAATAATTTGATGGAGAATTATTAATTAATTAATATGGAAATATAAATCAGAAATTGAAATATGGAAGGATAAAATTTAAAATGAAATAACAAATCATTACTTGAAAACTCTTTTAAATTTGATTTTTTAATAGCACAGGTAACTTAATTGCTTTACAAATAGCTGGTAAGAATAAAAAAGCTTGAAAGTTCAAATTAAGAAGCACACTATATGTAATTAAAGATTACAATTGACAAATTTGCAAAAAAAAGGTGATATCTTCGACTTCTCGGGAGCTCTATCCTTTTTTTTCCTAAACTAAAGCTTTAAAGAAAAAGCATTTAAATTCAGTCATTGAGCAAAATATTCAATGATAATTTTGGTGAGAGATTTTATTCATAACTAAGATCAATGATTCATATAAATTATCATATCATTTTAGAGCAATAATCACCTCGAGAAAATCAATGTCTTTTCTTTTTTTAAGAGTTTTATCTTTCTAAAGATTTCTGAATTCAGTTTTTGATGTTTCGGCGGAAAAAAAAAGAGTATTTTATAGAAATTATAACAATTCCTTTCTTTACATTAATATAAACTATTTTCTTTGGTTTCTTAATAGAATAATCTTTTCAAAATATCCTAAAATAATGTGCGCAAATTTTGATAAACATAATAAGTAAGAAATGAATTCATTGACAAAATACGAAATGATTGCCATTATCATTATTATTGTTATTGTTAGCAACTATTTGCGCCATTTAAGTTTTCATTATACTTCGCATTCGTATCAGTTAGATATGTATTAAAAGTGTCATTTTTATCCGCTAAAACAAATAATCAGATTATGCGAAGTTTTATTTCACTTTATCAATAAGCGTTTACAATGTTTAATTCAGCGCCTTCATTTTCTTATTGTTAACAATTCAATAATGATAGTGATAATGATTTTGAGTGGTTGTACTTACAAAGTAGCCAACATTTAGTTTACAATTATCATTCATCAATTTTGTTGAAAAGATATGCTAATATTAAATTGTGTTGTGTATACATTATTTGTTTCATTGATATCAATTATTCATTAATAGCAGTAGATGAAAGTGTAAAAAATAATTGTATCTCTTGGCTTAAATAGCTTATTTTTTATGACTCTCAAATATAGTCATATCAGTGAGGATAATTATGTATTTGTTGAGTGATAATTATAATAATAGTGATAATCGCATTAATAAGAGTAACTTATTTCACTTAGCTTACAGCGATTCATTTAAGAAATAATTGTCATACTCAATTTCTGCACGATAATGTGAACAGAAAAAAAACCTTAT